GCAGAATAACTTGATGTAATTTTGATTGGGATTTCATTGAATCTGCAGATCAATCTGACATCTTGTTAATATTGAATCTTCCTATTGATGAACATAGAATAATTTAGTTCTTCTTTGACTTCTTTTATCAGAACTTTGTGATTTACTCATATAGATCTTGTGCACATTTTGTTACATTTACATGTAAGTATTTTATTTGGGGGAATGTGCTAATATAAATTGTATTGTGTTTTAGATTTTAAACTCCACGTATTCATTGCTGGTATATTGCACAGTGATCAACTTTTATGTATTAACCTTGTATCCTGCAACATTGCTGTTATCTCTTATTATAATAATGTCAGGAGTTATTTTTGTCAATTGTTTTTGGGGTTTCTACATAGACTATCATGTCATCTGAAAAGACAAACAGTTTTATTTCTTCCTTCTCAAAATGTATCCTTTTCTTTTCTTTTCTTACTGCAGTAGTTTGTCATCATTGGCTGTAGGGTTTTTTTTTTTTTTTAGATATTCTTTATCAAGTTGAGGAAGTTCCCCACTCTTCCTAATTCACTGAGAGTTTTCATCATCAATGTGTGTTGGATTTGTCATGTGCTTTTTCTGCATCTATTGATATAACCATGTGGCTTTTCATTTGTAGCCTCTTGATATGATAGATTACATTAACCAATTTTCAAATACTGAAACAGCCTCGCATACCTGGGATAAACTCCAGTTGGTCATGGTGTATAATTCTTTTTATATATTGTTGAGTTCAATTTGCTATTATTTTGTTGAGGACTTTTGCATCTATTCTTATAAGATATTAATCTGTAGTTTTCCTTTCTTATAATGTCTTCGTCTAGTTTTGGTATAAGGGTAATGTTGACCTCCTACAATGAATTCGAGAATATTCTCTCTGTTTCTACATTCTGAAAGAGACTGTAGAGAATTGGCATAATTTCTTTTTAAATATTTGGTAGAATTCACCAATGAACCTAGCTGGACCTGGTGCTGTCTGTTTTAGAATATTATTAGTTATTGATTAAATTTTTAATAGGTATAGGCCTAATCATATTTTTTTTTCTTTTGTGAGTTTTGGCAGATGTGTCTTTCAAACTACTTCATGTAGGTTATCAAATTTGTGGATGTATCATTGTTCGTAGTATTCCTTTATTATCCTTTTAATGGTCATGAAATTTTTTTCATAGCCTGGCTAGAGGCTTCTCAATTCTATTGATCTTTTCAAAGAACATGTTTTGGTTTTGTTGATTTTTTCTGTTGATTTATTATATTCATTTCATTGATTTCTACTCTAATTTTTATTATTTCTTTTCTTCTGCTTATTTTGGATTTAAATTTGCTCTTATTTTTCTAGTTTCCTAAGGTGAAAGTTCAGCTGATTAATTTTAGTTCTTTTTTCTTTTCTAGTGTGTATATTCAATGGTATAAATTTTCCTCTGACCATTTCTTTCACTGAGTCCCCAAAATTTTAATAAGTTGTGTTTTCGTTTTTATTTAGTTCAAAATATTTTAAAATTTCTCCTGAGATTTCTTCTTTGGCCCCTGTGCTATTTAGAAGTGTGTTGTTAATATTTAATCTTCATGTATTTGGGAATTTTCCAGTTATCTTAGTTTTGTTGAATTTTAATTTCATTGTGGTCTAATAGTAGATATTGTAGGATTTCTATTGTTTAAAAGTTTTTAAGATTTCTTTTATGACCCAGAATGTGGTCTATCTTGGTGAATGATCCAGGTAGACTTGAGAAGAATGTGTATTCTGCTTTCGTTGGATGAAGTAGTCTATAGATGTCCATTATATCCAGTTAATTGATGGTGTTGTTGAATTC